TCCCTTTGCATTTCTCCCCAAAGTTGAACCCTTCCTCTGAGCCAGGGACTGGGTGTAACTCCAAGAGAGCCTATGAACTCTACTGCTTCACTGTAAATGGGCACAGAGGGTGCGCTTTGATACCGCCTACCCACGGCTGGGGCACAAGCCCCCAGGACACTGAACTGCAAAACTTCTTTGGGAACAAAGTTTGGGAGGACCGATTCCCAGCCCTTTGTTCTAACCACCAGGCAGGTTTTCAAGTCCTCTTAGCTGCAGCTTTGCTTTCATTCTGCGCTGCATAATGTCACCTTGGGGAAAACGCATAAGATGCTGCTAGTGTCCAGGTGGGATTGAAGGATGCCAGACTTCAACCCCACAGCCACAAAGGGAAGGTGGAGCGCTGCAGCTCCAGCAATGGGAGCTGGCTAGGGGCTGCTTTCCCTTCTGCCTCCCCCAACTCCCGAGAGATTACCCAGCAGGGCTTAGCACAGGAATGAAAAGCAGCTGCCTCACAGCCCGTCTGCAGATAAAGGGCAGCAAAGGAATCCTGGCTGAATATGCTCCCGTTGGATCAGCGTGGGGAACGGCAACAAGCATGCGAGGTCAGGCACAGAGAAAGGGGATCAAGGGCATTTAAAGACACAACACAGCTGAGATACATATTTTTTTTTCCCTTTTGGAAACCAGTCTCCCTCTACAGAGTGTCTTGGCTGCTGAACATTGTGCTACCGGGTGTCTACAACACAATCTGTGCATTCACCTTCCTGGGACAACTGTTACTTCTGCTACTAAGCTTCAGCAGCTCTTTCTTTTGAGACATACAGACCGTTTCTGGAAGTCTGTACAGCAATTACAGTTAAAAAACCCAGCAGAGCCAGACTGCAGCTAAGTAATTCTTTATACATTCCAGAAAATATGTCCAGTAATAATTAGAACCAGAGAAGCGTAGATGCATGCACATTTCAAAATGCTCCATGACTCCACCACGTTCTCTCTCTGCATCTTTGTTATAAGCTACAGGACCCGTCGTACTTCCAGGCATGGATGCCTGTTCAGCTTCACTAGAACAAGTCCCTAAGATCTGCTGCTATTTTCGACCTGCCCTTGCCCGAGCTCCAAACGCACAGCCAGCAGCCCCTCTGGCAAGGCCAGTTCAAGTTGCCTGTTTACCAGAGGTCAGAGGGATGACAGTATGGATAAGAGCAGGTGAATTAATTTGCTTGATATATGTAACAAGCAGGTAAACGTTATACTGCTCAAATTAGAAGCTGGTAAGTCGCATCTACCTGTACTTGTATTTGACAATGCTATCAGCAGAGAGTCCGAGAAATGTGAGTAGGTGTCCACTGAAGACTCAGCTAGGACCTAACTAAATTCACTTCCCTCAGGATCAAGTGTTATTTACAACTCTCCTCTTCAGAGAAAAAGCGCCAATGCATTAATACCTCCAGCGCAGCGGTTACAAAAGAGTCCACGGAGAATTTATCCATGAAAACCAGAACATGATGTTACAAAGAAATCTAATACGGAGGAAGGAGATGAGAATCCCTGATTTAAAAATAAGTTAACTAAAATCAACTGCCAGAATGTGATGCAAGAGGTGATGTGCTTTTAACGTCTTTTGTATCCAGAGTAACCTAAATGCTGCTGAAAGCTACTCAATATCCCCATGTGATCAACGTACAAGCAAAAAGACACCTTATCTTGGAGTTAAGTGGAAATAAGGAATTTTGGGTGGAAACGTCATCTCAGGCTTAACAATAGCTTTGCTACTACACCACTATAATTATACAGTGAAATCTAAGCAGACTGAGATGATGACGCTACCTCTACACTTTCCATGGGAGCTGGTGACCCTCCACAGAAATCACAGAGCTGCTGGCAGCGCCCGTGGTAGGTCCAACAAGGATTTGTCTGCTAACCCTGGGGAATAAAGCGCTAGTCATAGAATCACAGTCCCAAGCTATCTGCTTCTCAAACCCTTCCTGGCAGTTCTAGAAGTTCAACATGAAACTGTGGAGCACAGGAAAAGTTACAGGAAAATAGAGACACTGATTTAACCTGGATCAGCACATACTCTGCCAGCCTCAAAGGATCTATGCCAGACTCACCCTCCTGCCACTTCTGATTCTTCGCCTCTACCTTTTCTGCCTCTTGAATCTGTGTTTGACTGCTCAATCATGTTATCTAGATAGCCCAAGAGGAAAATTAGCAAAAGGAAAACAAGCCCCTAAGAATGTTATTTATTTCTCTCGCATTGCCAACCCACACATTTGGAGAGAGTTGATCAGACAGGCTCCCTGCAGATCCACTGTGCTTTCAAACAGCCACGAAAGGTTTATTGCACAAGAAACTCACAAAAACACGTCAGGTCCTTAAAGTTACACGATTGAGACTCATAACTAGGGCATAAATTAAATACCAGACTAAGCTCTTATTTCCACGCCAAAATCCACTGCCACATCCACACAGCATTATTTCACTCTTGGAAAATCTGAGGGGGATCATAAACTAAGTCATCAGGGATTTTTCAATCAGCTATTTCTCCGTTTAGAAATGCAAACCGGATCCATTTTACTGAACGCCAAAGTCACAACAGCCAAACAAAATCCCTAATTTCTAACTTCTGGAAAAGTTTTGTGAACACAACCCAGCTCCAGTCCTCCCACCCAGCCTCCCACTTTGGCCTTCATACAACATATAGATCACTGGAGGCTTCCCTTACATACGAGTTTATTTAAAGAAGTTGCAGAGGTTTGCAATTATCTACTTTCTAACCCATAAAATAAAAGGGAAGTCTGAACTTTAAAGCTTGCAATGTGGACAAAAATGCAACTTAAAACCTTCATTTCTTTTGCCATTACCTTAAAAATAGCTCAGCGGCCATGAATAATAAAAGCAATTCAAGAATAATAAACTGCCAGTCTCACCCCATCTCTGCCGGGTGTCAGCTTCTTTCTCTCCCGTCCTTTTCTTCAGCTGCCTGAGATTCTCTCCACGTTTTGATTTATTTCTCCCTTCCTCTTTCTTTCTGTCTTTCTCCGGATCCGGATGCTCTTTAAATTTCCTCCGGAATTTCACTTGGAAATCTTGCTAGTTTTGCTGTCGGCTCACAAACCGCCCAGTAATCCCCGAGGTGCGGGGCACGGAGGGCAGGGACCGCCCGGACCCCCCCCGCCCCAACCCCGGGGCTGAGGGTTCCCACGGCCACTTCCAGCCCGCAGCCCTCGGCGGGGCAACTCGGGCCC